AAGCTAAAATTTCTCTCTACAGCTTTCCTACTAAACAAGTTTGCTGTACTGCTTTTTTTAGTATAAATGGTTTGTAAGTTTAATAGGTGACAAAGAAGTGGAGATGAGAAATGTCGAGTAAAGTATTGTATTAACTTGGTGGAGATCAGTCAGTCTAAGAACTGGTCGATGGCCTCTTTTGTCTTCCGTTCTCGGTCTTCGTTCCATCTTTATCGCTCTTCTAATTCTGACGTTGCTTTCGCGACCAAAGTCGAAGTAGTTTTATTTTCTCAGCTTTGTTTCGCGATTCAATATTAATTAAAGGTAAATTCTAGGAGCGGCAATGTCACCACAGCAAGACCCGAAAGCAGCATTCAAAGCGGAATGGGAAGCACTGCAAATGTATCAACACCAGTTTGCGCTTTAAATCTTTTATCTGTGATTTGTTATTGATTGTAAATCAACAGTACAAAAACTCAGTGGCTAGTTTATCTAAGAAGGGCTTTTCAAATTACTTTGGAAACCCCGTTTATAGTTCAAAGGATGTACAGTAAACGTACTGTCTGTTCATTTTGTTAAAAGCTAAATTTATGTCAATGTTTTGTACAAACTAATAACGATTATTCATGTAAAGGTAGCATAAAGCAGATAGTTAAGAGAATAGCTGTGTCACATAGAAAAATCCAATAAGATACTTGGCAAAATCCGTTGGAAATCTGTAGCAACGACTGTTGAGCGTCCATCTAGTTGGGTGTACTGTGCAGCTCTCAGCAGTGTTTCCTGAATTTTTAGATCAGCGCAGAAATGGATTTGGAGATGTATTTCCCCCATACCAAAACTAGAGCATTTGCTAGAGCTGTTAGGAGTCGCAGAGCACTAGCGTCCAGTGATACCCCCCTATCCCCTCGAGATCCTATTGTAATCAGTGAACGCACGGCGGATTCCTTGATGCGATCAGTGGTGACCATGACGACTCTAGATACTATAATGTTTCTTGAATTTACCATAGCCTCACTAAGATCTGAATGACCAGATAGCATTTTATCTCTTTCCCTGAATAATAACTTCTCAAATGGGTGTTGCACTCTGCAGAGACTATTGTATCAGGGAAAGGAGCGGATGCTATTGCGCCTTTGGACAATCAGATCTCCGTTTCTGAACTTGTTATGTAGTTTATAAAACTCCATGCGTACGATGTTACCTACTCTGCTAATATTAGATAACAATTTAAAAAGAAACGGCCAGGTAAAGTTCTATCCTTGGAGGTCGTCATCAAAATAACAGATCTTGCATATCAAACAGTTTATTTACTTAACAAATAACAGCAAAGAAACAAACAACAGTCTGATTCACTTCTTCTTCGCAGCCAATT